AGAGTGGAAATGATAGTTCTAACCTTTTTCACAGAATAAAAGCCAAAACCCAAGACAACTGAAATCTGAAGTACTCCCTGATCATCTCTGGGTATGCAGTTCAGAAGGCACCCAAGTAACCACAGGCACTTACTAGGGATGAGAAGCACACACATTTAATCCTTGCATCAAAACAGAAGATGAAGCCATTTCACAGTTTAAGTATCTCAGTAAAATGCTGAGGGCAAACAAGGCTTTTCTGTCTTCTTTCTCCTCCCTGCCACCAAACTGCAGGGCTGCAGCAGACAAGCAGACAACAGAGCCATGTGTGCTGACAGGCAGCCCGGGATCAGGTTAAACCAACAGACACTGCTGTGAGAAGCTGCTGGACATCACAAACAGCGGAAGGGAAAGACGAGCTGTTAGCTGAGACCAGAGGCTGAAGTAGCAAAACACAAAAAGCGGAGGCTCTACAAGACAGAAGATGCGAAAAGGGAGCTTCTCACATTTCAAACAGCAGCTCATTTCTTATCCAGTCTCCCACAACCGCCAGCTGCCCACATCAAGCTCTTAACTGCTGATCTTAACAACTGTTCTGGTTAACGTGGTTTTCAGACCACCAGCTATTGAGAAGAAGGGCTTGGAGCTTGCAGCTCTGCAAGGGAAAAGCACAGTGGCAGCACCAGCTGCTGGGACTGAGCAGGAAGGAAAGGAAAGAGACAAGGAGAGAGACAGGGCTGCAGGTGCCAGCAGGGTGCTGTGAGCAGAGCCCACACAGCACTGCTGTTACCTTCATGATGTCCACTGTCTGCCTCAGCTGGTTCAGGCAGGCGAGCACTTTCAGTCTCTCATCTGGGAGGCTAGGAGTAAGACAGCAATAACAAATTATTTGAAAGCAAAGTTCACTCCTTCACAACCTGCATACCTAGCAAATTACTTGCACAAGTTTACATTACTCTGATGTTCACTGGTTCTTTTACAGAAATACTTCCGTGGCTTTTTCAGAGAAATATTGAAAGCATTTGGTCCTCTACAGCCAAACAAAAGAGGAAAATCCCAAATACCTGCACAAGTGCACTAAGCTCCCAGTAGAGCTACTGTGCTGCAGCCACACGACCTTAAAACAACTCTGGAGGGAGAGATAATACACCTCCTTACGCCCACTTTTATTAACTGTCTGCAAACTTTGTCCTTGAGCAAACTCGTTTCAGCCTCAGTACAACAGCAAACACGATGAGAATAGAATTTGGTATCTTTTACACTTCTCAGCAATTGACCACTGTGAGTGGTAAATTCAAAGACTGGTCTTCGACTTTAACACAAATTAGTACTATAAAATGTCAGCTATTAGCAAAGACAAATACCACTAAATGCACTACACATTTTCAGCCAAATCATGTAATAATTCACAGTCCATAGAAATAGTGAATGTATGTGATGTCTGAGCCACAGGTGACCTTTTCTATCTTATCCAGTTCACCTTCCCCCAGCAGGAGGGGCCTCAAGCTGCAGCCTCTGCTGCTGTCACTGCAAGTCTGCTGCTGCCTCTGCCTGCAAACACAATGAGAAGCGTGGCAGTGCTGCTCAGCCTGCTGCATCACTTCGTACTGTATGCAGCTCAATCTGCACGGGGCAGTCAGAAATCCTCAGGTGCTTACAAGGAGTTCCTGAATGAGCCCACTACTTACAGGGCAACAGAAAGCTAAAGGCAAAAACATGAGGTCCATTATATCTGCCTGTCCTTCTGTGCTGTGATAAGGTGACAAACTTTCCTAAGAGCATTCAGGCAGAGCCATGTCAGAAGCTATTTGCTTCCAGCCATCTACATTCACTTCACTTCGGCACAGATGATTTTTCTCCAGACTCTTCTCTAAGATGTTGAGTCACTTTTGGAGCAAAGCAGAGAAAGATTCCAGCAGACTTTAAAACCCCCCCAACTCGATGTAAAGAGATGGCACCCAAGTTACCAATTCCAGCACAGATCTTGGTGGATATGACCTACAAGCATGCTAATAACAGAGATCAAACCTCACAAGTATGTTTTCAAAAGAGCTGCAATGCTGTGAGAGGCACAGTGACGCCAGCAGCAGCCTGCCATCAAATAACAATTGCTCAAAAGGACATCAGGGCCACACAAAGCCCATGAGGGTTCCCGGAACTCAGGGGAAGGTGAGGCAATGCAAAGCACAGACAGCACCTCCCAGTGCAGAGCACAGGGTGTTGCCTGTTGGCTTCAAGCACCTGCTTACACTTCTAAATGCCACAGAAACTTGGGAGCAAGGAGCAAGTTAGCTGGAAAACAATCAGGTGTGCACAGAGGATGGCATGAGAGCATCTTGACAAACTACCAATGGCTGCAGCTATGGAAAGAGCAAAGAAAAAACCTACCTGTTCTGCTTACACTGCACCCACAGAAACACTGTCCACAAGAACACGGCCCAGTGTGCTCTTCTGCTCCAGAAAGGCCCCCCAAGCAGGGCTGAACAGCACAGTGCTGGCACAACTCCACAGCACAGGACAGGAGGCGATCCCAGGCAGCGCGGTGCTGCAGGCGGCTGCTATGAGGGCGGCAGTCCCTGTCTGATGGACACACACGAGGCTTTGCCCTACCTCTGGGAACACCAACAGCTTTGGGCTTGGTCTCCACCACATTACAGTCCTGGTACAACTGACCACTCGAGCATTAAAATCACAAAGAGCTCTTTGCTGTTCTTCAGAGAAAGACCACCAGACACTTACTTACCTTGTGTCCTCAGGATGAGGCTGCCTCACCAGATTACACACATGGAATCACAGCATTGCTCAGTTGGAAAAGACCTTAAAGATCATCAAGTCCAACCTCGACCTAACCATACTACCCTAACTGTAACAACTCTCCACTAAATCACGTCCCTGAGCACCACATCCAAACGGTTTTTAAACACATCCAGAGATGGTGACTCAACCACCTCCGTGGGCAACCCATTCCTGTGCCTAACAACCCTTTCTGTAAAGCTTTTCCTGATATCCAACCTAAACCTCCCCTGGCACAGCTTGAGGCCATTTCCCCTCACCCTGTCACCTGTCATCAGTGAGAACAGACCAACCCCGCTCTGCTGCAATCACTTTTCAGGTACTGGAAAAGAGCAATAAGGTCTTCCCTCAGCCTCCTTTTCCCCAGACCGAACAGCCCCAGTTCCTTCAGTCTCTCCTTGTAGCACTTCCCCAGCCTTGTTGCCCTTCTTTGGACCTGCTCCACCACCTCCATGTCCAAAACTGAACACAGTACTCAAGGTGAGGCCTCACCAATGCCAAGTACAGGGCAGAATGACTTCCCTAGTCAGGCTCACCACACCATTCCTGATCCAAGCAAGGATGCCATCGGTCTTCTTGGCCACCTGGGCACACTCCTCAAAGCAGCTGTTGTTGAGAAGGTGAATGCTGCCCCTTCCCCATGCATTCCCTTTCCCCCACACCCTCCCTCCCACCACAGGCTGGAACACAAGAAGCCCACAGCCCCCCACACCTCTTTGAGACTGACCTGCTCCAGAGACATCAAGCAGACAGCCCCACTCACCATTTATATTCCATGTGCACCACACCCTGTGTCACAACCCACAGCCCAATCTTTGGGGATTCCCAGCTCTGCCCCCTGAATGCTAAGAAGAACGCGGAACTAGACGTGTGTACTCAGTGCTGGGCTGACACAGAGCCCCACCACAACCTGAGGAGACTTTCCACACCCACAGGACTCACCCAAGCTAGAGAGGCCTGGAAGGAGCACCCAGATGTTCCCCATGCCTGAGTACCCAGGGTGAGCACTCGGTGCTCAAACAGGCAGGAGGGACTAAAAGCGACTGGCCTTAGGGAATACTATACAGAGGAATTACATAGGTTGCTCAGGAAGTAATGCCTTCTATTTCCATGGAAACTACAACAAAGAGCACAATAACACTGCTGGATAGGGCAAATTCTCAGCTACTCACGCTGGGCATTTTCACCAGGGTGAACAGGTGAACAAGAGCCACACCTGAGCTTGTGGAAGTCTGGGCCATGGAAGGCGATACACAGTTATATACTGCTGAAAAACACTGCCCAGCCCTCACTGTGCTCACATCCACTCTGTAAAAGTTCAGAAGCATCGATAAGTGCCATTTTTTCTTTCTTTTCTGCATGGAGGAATTCAAACCCAGCTCTTCACTCCATCCGCACTCTCATGTCCCTCTGAGGTGGAACGGCATTGGGCACCTCTGTTGCCATCTGTCCCGCAGCAACAAAATGGCACGGGGTGCCGGTGCGAAGGCTCAACCTCTGCTGCCGTCTCACTGACGCCCACCTCAAGCACCGTGCGCCAAAATCCCAAAACAGGAGGCATTCCTTTCGGAGCAGCCCTCGCACTTCTCTGCTCGTTACTTCGGTGACACAAGCGCCCCGCGCGCCAGAAGCCCCACAGCCACGTTCCTCGCGGTTCCAGCCCAAACCTCCCCTCAAAGGGCAGCGCCGTCCCAGCCGACGCCCGCCCCGCTCCGAGGCGCAGCTCCTCGCCCCGCCTGGCGGCACCCGGCGCCGCCCCGGCCCCCTCACCCCGCGGAGCTCCGCGCAGCGCCCAGCGCGGCTCCGCGCGCCGCCCCGTTAACAGCGCCGGGGAACCACGCGAGTGGAGCCGAACGTTTGGAGAGCTCCGGAGGGGCGGAACCAAAGCGAGCGGGGAAACTCGGCGCGGGCCGCCGGGGACGGAGCGGTGCCGGGGGGACGGAGCGGTGAGCGGCGCGGCACGCAGAGCACGGCGAGCACAGCAACCGAACCCCGGCACGGCTCGCACGGAAGGGCCCTCAGCCGTGCCGCGTGCCGGCTGCTCCCCGGCTCAGGCTGCCCAGCGCCCGGCCGCGGCCTCGGGCACCTGCAGGGACGGGGCACCCGCAGCTCCGGGCAGCACGCCGGGGCCGCTCCGCCTCCGGGTAGAGAACTTTCATTCGCACCTGACCTGAACTCCTCTTTCAGTTTAAAGCCGTTCCCGCTGCCCGCCCCGCCCCGGCACTCACCAGACACGGGTGACGCGCAGCGCGCAGGCGGGCAGGTCGAGCAGCATGGCCCCGGTGACGCCGCTCTCTGCGGGGACGAGCACACGGTGAGCGGCGCCGAGCGCGTCCCGCCCGCTCACCCTCCCGCCCGGTCCCGTTACCTCGGAAGCGGCGCAGCAGGTCGGGCTCGCCCACGCCGCTCCGCGAGAGGTGCCGGCAGAGCCGCTCCGTGTCCCACAGCCGCGGGTCGCCGCAGGCCGCGCCGCCGCCGGAGCTCTCGGCGAAGCCCTCGCGCCGCGCGCGCTTGGCGGGAGCCGCGGCCCAGCCCGCCGCCGGGCTGCCCATCGCGCGCTCCGCTCCGGCCCCGCCGCGGGGCGCTGGCGCCGCCGTGACGTCAGCGCGCGGCGCGGCCCCCGGTGCCGCGGCTCGTGGCTCTGCCCCCCGCCCCGCGCGGGAAGCGCCTTGCGGCGCGCGCCCCGCCCCGACGCGGCCCCGTGCCCGCGGCCACCACCGCTGTACCGCGCTGCCCGCGGCTCCGCCGTGCCCGCGACGTCCCCCGCCGCTACGGCCGAGGAGCGCGCACTCGCGTGCTGCGCTTGCACGGGAAGTTCTGGGAGCGGGGGGTGCGGGGCTGCTGCGAGCGGTGCGCCGTGCGGCAGCGAGGAGAGGGGGGAGAAGCAGCCCTGCGGGCACCCGGGGGAGGGCGGGCACAGAGCAGCAGCTCCCTGCGGGCCAGGAGAGGCCCACGGTGGAGCAGGCCTTCCCCCTGCTGCCCACGCGCACCACACGGAGCAGATCTCCCCTTGCAGCCATGGAGGAACCTGCGGTGCAGCAGTGGATGTGGATTGAAGGAGATGCAGCCCACGGAGCTCCACAGGAGCAGGGCCTGGGCCGGAGCTGCAGCCCATGGGGAAGAGCTGCAAGGAGCAGAAGGGCTGGGGAAGCCGGAGCAGTGCCCAAAGGATGGGCCCCATGATATCGAGCCACAGTGGAGCAATGCTTGGAGAGCTGCAGCCCATGGAAAGCCCACGTGGGATCAGCTCGGGAAGGACAGCATCTATGGGAGGGACCTCTGGTGGTATCAGATGAGCAGAGGCCCTGTTCTTATCCCAGCCCCACAGTATTTTTTCATTGCATTTTCTCTTCCCCCCACCACAGCGGGCAATGGGAGCACAGCCTGCTGGGTCTCAGGCATGCAGCCCTGCTTCAAACAGCCGAACAGCTGTGAAGCCTTGCGCTCTCATCACAAACTCCTGAAAGATGTAGCAAAAATAAAGAAACAAACTTCCTCTTTGCAAGGTCTCTTTGTGGAGCAGCAGAGCCAATGTAATGCTGTAGCAGTTTGCTTCTGTTAGCAAGCGCAGTTTTCTCACTTCCATGCTCTTGCCACGAAAGAGCTTGCAGGCCTCAGTGCCTGGCTGAGCCTTTCCACAGTGCTCGGTTATTCCGAGCTGTCCTTCAGCCCCCAGCCCGCCCTGCTGAGCGGGGCAGTGCTCCGAGCCGAGGTCTTATTGGGGAGGAGCAGCTCATCCCTGCCAGGAAAACAGAACTGGCACAGAACAAGAAACAAACAAGAGGCCTGGGGCCATGAAGCAGCCGGATAAACTTCCCAAATCAATGCAAAACCTGTTGATGTGCCAAAATCAGATGGACACAGAGCAACAGATCCAGGGGTTACCAATGTCACTCTCTAGTAGGAAGAAAGCAAAGGCAATGCCTGGGGCATTGGCCTGAGCAGCACAAAGTTAATGCGTGAAGTGCAGAGAAACTGGAAAGAGACAGGAAATGTGTGTGCTTGTCTACATGTGACGGATGCAGATAAAACCACCTCCCTTCCCTAATGCTGCTGTGCACCAAGGTTCTGACTACAGCCTGGTGGCTGTGATGACAATCAAATTAATGCAGAGCCCCAGGGGTGCCTCATGGTGCAGAAATAAAGAGCAAGGCAAGGTGGAAGCCAGAAGGAGGGGAGATTATTTTGGTGCAGGGGTTTGTTTGCTTTATGTTTTCACTTTAGACATCTCTACCAGCACTTCCCTGTGCCACTGGGCTCCCTGGAGCAGCTGTAGCTGAACAGCCAGTCAAAGCAGCATTCTCCCCTTCAGCTCATACCTGTTTTTCAGGAGCTGCTATTGAAGTGATGGGTAATGCACTTACTGGAAACGAAGATTACAATGCATTTACTTTTGCCTTTCATCAAGTGTCAGACCACAAAAACACTGCGTGACTCACAGGCCTGACACAAAAGAACGCTTCCTACCAGGAAACGGAGCTGAATTTCAGTTCCAGTTCTCCACGCAGCTTAATCACACTCTCACCCCAGTTTCTGGAGGCCAAATGTTGGTGCACTTGGGCTGTGGCAGCCTCGTGTTAACGGATTAAGTGTCAGCAGATCTGTCTGTTGTACTCATCCTGCTGGTGTTAACAAGCTTTCTTCCCGCTGACTTTGAAAACTCCAAATCTTATTCCTTCCTCTGTACTGCCCGTGATGTTTTCCCCTCATTGGCAGCTTTATCTACAGCAGGGAAGTTTACAAAGAGAAAAGCCAGCCCCATTTTCTGCAGCAATGCCCCTCAGCATCCTCTAAGGCTGTTATCTCCATTGTAATATGTCTTTTGGAACTAATTTTTGACTCTGAAGCTCTGGTGCCAAGATTTCAGTACTACTACACTACCACACTCCCACTTTTTCCTTCAGCAGCTGCACAGGCAAAATTCAACAAGCTCTGAGCACTTATCTGATACCAATTTTATGCACGTTCACAGGAAGAAAACCACCATAAAGCCAGCCAGTAAAAATCTGAACATCTTCAATGTACTTAACTTGTGGGATGAGGGCTGTCCAGCACTGCCCCACGTCACTGCAGAGCAGGAGCCCCAGAGCCAGGAGCCCACAGCAATTTAAGTGCTCACCTGGGCAGGGTCACTGGGCACTGCAGGACCACCCCTGCCCAGCATTTCTTTGCTTACTTCAGCATGAGCATTACTCGGTCTCTTCTCCCAGAAAGCACGTCTGACTGAAGCACAAACATGAGAGAAACCTCAGGAGGAAACTTCAGGTAGATAAAACAAAGATAACAAATTCAAACTGAAAAAGATACAGAAGAAATGTGAGGAGGCACAAAAACAACAAAGGTCTTTGATATTAGAGGAGATGCAGACAGATGGCATAGTTTAATGAATGACCACAGAAAACAGAGCAACCTCAGGTTAATATATTTTTATTATAAAATACATACTTACATGTGAAGGCACTTTAAACCGCTACAAAAGTTTCACACACTGCTTCAGCTGTTCAGCAAGTCCAAAAACGTTTTTCATATTGTCACCTACATAGGTGAAAAATCTGAACTGCATCCAGTTGTAGTACATCCATTTTTCTAATGAAAAAACGCTGTGCTTAATGACACTGGCGAGGATCTTAGCACCATCATCTCTCTGCCATTCCAGAGAAGGCTGCAGGAGTGTGGGAGGCGTACATGTGGTAGGGAGAGATGGTGGGGGGATGGAGCTTGAGGATCCCTGAGGCCCCTTTCAACCCAAGGAATCATCAACGATCTTCCAGGGATGCTACATCACAACCGAATCAGCTACGTTCTTACCATGCAATACTGCTGAAAAACGTAACCCTGTTAAGCCTGAGGTTATATTCATCACCAATAAAGGCTGCAGTGATCCTGCAAGTAAGGCTAAGTCAGGATGCCTCATTTCCCCTACAACGCAGGAGGCTTCTAGGGTCTGGGTTATGCACTGAAGGGATATGGTTGTAACTGCAGAGATGAGTGGATCAAGACAAAGTTCATTTCTATTGTACATTTTGTCTCACAGTCTGAAGACAAATATTCAAATTGAGTAAGATTAAAGGAACCGAAGAATCTGCATTCTGTGCATCTGCATCCATTACCCCATACTGCAGCTCCATATGTCACACCTTCCAGAAATGAGCACCTTTTTTTGGAAGTCAAAAATCAAAGTAGTTAAAGATCCAAATGAACTGGTTTGTAAACATCCTATCCTTGCTGAGTAGGGTCCCTGCACACATACAGTATACATACACTCTCCCACCATGGCCCTGGCCAATGCACTAGCTGTGGCTGTTTGAGATCACACAAGCTTTCTTCCTGTAAGTGCAGCACAGCAGACTTGGCAGCACATACTAAACAAACCAAACAACAAAGTGAACAGAGCCCTTAGCACAAATCCTATGGAACTGTTATTTTTTCCAGCATAATACATACACATACACACACACACACACACATACACACACAATACAGTGCTGAGAAGTTTCTGTACGGCTCTAACTTTAAATGCGATTAAGAAATAAGATCAAAATACTGACTTACAGTAAACACGACTCTTTCAGTTTTGGTAAAATAAATCCTATAAAATCCCTCAGTGTTAACAACTTCATTATAAGAAATAAGAACTTACACATTTCCAATGAAACCAATCCTTCAGAAGCTATAAAAATCATATATACAAACATACCTTATCCGATGGGTTTACTTTCAGTGTAGATACTACACAACAAGAGAGTAAGATCTTAAAATAAAATGTAGAGTTACATAATGTGTTAAATGAATTTGCACATTTCAACAGCTGTAAGGCAGTTGAAGCCCAAGCTGTCTTTCCAACTGTAATCAACTTGTAGGTCTTCGCAATTAAGCTACGATTCCTATCAACAGCTTCTACAGCAAGGCAGCAATCAAGCTTCCCATTGGAAAAGAGCAGCTCCCACAGCAGTGCTCACTGGCTTAGGAGAAGGGTAATTCAGACCTATTCAGAAAGGTATCTCTGTGCTTTTCCCGTTGTTGGTGTTCAATTTAAACTGTTGCTGCTTCTGCTTTCTGATTCACGTTCTACACTCTGATCCATGTTGCAACATACACTTTTGCTGAAGCTCTGACAGGAGATAACAGCACAGGACAGATACACTTCAGAACTGCTCCACTCTTTCTGAGACTGAATCAGTCTGTTCTCCTCTCCAGTTAACTCCACATTCTTTTAGAAATAAGGCACTTACAAAGTTTCTACCTCAAGTACCAAAGCTTGAGAAACTTAACCGATTTCACTCATTTCCTTACTGTTTTAATTCTAAAAATAAAATGGTTACCAGAAGCTGAGTTACACTCAGAACTTAAATAATCTAGATTAGGCTCAAGAACATCCACCACAGCTTTCTGCAGATCACTCTTTTCCTAAAACAGCTCAAAGAGAGTAACCTACAGTACAGTATATTCTCTGGGAATGAAACCACCTTCCATTCTCCATTACTTACTACCTAACTCTTGCTTCCTGCATCCTGTGGAAGCCAGAGGTTCAACATTAACAAAACTAGGCAGTTGTCTGCATATACCACATCTTATAAGGAAGTGATAGCACTACTGCTATATCAACCTGATCAAGATAGCTCTGAGATCCCACAGAAAACTGGCAGCTTTAGTGATTTGCTCTTTCACTGACAACATCCTGAAGGCGCTTCAGTAGAACATCATCATTTTCCTGGCAGAGTCGCTTCATAGGGGGCTCAGTGTCACTATCAATTGTTATTGCTCGTTTCTTACTCCTGTGTTCACCTTGTTTTATCATATTGTTGATATCCTTCAAACTCTGTGAACGACAATTTAAGAACAAAGTAACATGAGTTACTATGACTTCATTTCAAACCTGATTTGGTTCTCAATTAGCCGAGAACTAAAAAAGTTATTATTGTGAACCTCTGCTGAGCAAGTGAAGAACTCTCCATAAAGAACTCTATCCCTCACCATAAAGTGAGGTTCAATGGATTCCCACTGAACCAGAGCACATTCCAGTTGTGAGATGAATTCATCCTCTCCCAAGTCAACCTCTTCCAACCCTTTTACTTTCTACCTTGGAAGGGCTCCCATTGAATTTATACAGGAGCGCAGTTCGAGGCGTCAAGCAGGCACTGTTCTTGTGAGGTGAGACATAAACAGGGTGCTGCTGAGAGATGCGCCGAGGAGACACCGGCTGCTGCTTAATGCTGGGGAACGGAGACAAGGGGGGGGCTTCCATCTGAAAGAGAGGATGAATCCCCAGAGGAGACGAATCAGGAATTACCAGACAGCAATAACTTCTCAAAAAAGCAACGTAACCACACTTCCAGGTTTTCTGTAGAACATCTTATCCTGTAGCAGTTGGACAACCAAGCAAGAATCCACAGAACAGATGTATGAAGGCAGCTCCAAAAGTAACGCCTTCCATTTTATGATGTTAGCCCATGATGTCAGAGGCAGATGTTGGTGGGATGGCAGTAGGGATGGAACCTTCCCACTGATATCCCATTCCATTTTGCTGTCATATGACAGATGGCAGCAGAAGAACTGTCTGACATAACAACATCTGACATGGGAGTGCACATGGAGCAAACAGGTGGGACTGAATTCCTTTGCATGGAAAAAAATGGCTCCCAGTGACATTCATCAATGCTTGTGAGAGACCAGCAGTGGATGTGAGTGCGAGTGGTGGGTGGGGTGTTTCAGCAGTGCTGACAGTGGGCCATCTCTGCTGGAGCCATTATTCACCCCCCCTAGCCCCCCCGAGTGCAGCATGCAGGCTCTGCTTCATCACTGGTGAATGCGTACAGCCAATGGTGGTGAATATTTTGAAAAACAGTGTGCTGTAGAATTTGCTCTATCCAAGTGTTATTGTGCTCTTTGTATCTGTTGCAGTTTCCATAGTAATAACAGGAGGCACTGCTTTCAGAGCAACCTATGTTCAGACGTGTCAACACAGCCACATGAGCAAATGAGCACTGCTATGTAAAGAAGCTGAAAATGGGGTTGTAAATTCAGTTTGTCTGCTTTATGTTTTTACTTTAGACATCTCTACCAGCACTTCCCTGTGCCACTGGGCTCCCTGGAGCAGCTGTAGCTGAACAGCCAGTCAAAGCAGCATTCTCCCCTTCAGCTCATACCTATTTTTCAGGAGCTGCTATTGAAGTGATGGGTAATGCACTTACTGGAAACGAAGATTACAATGCATTTACTTTTGCCTTTCATCAAGTGTCAGACCACAAAAACACCGCGTGACTCACAGGCCTGACACAAAAGAACGCTTCCTACCAGGAAACGGAGCTGAATTTCAGTTCCAGTTCTCCACGCAGCTTAATCACACTCTCACCCCAGTTTCTGGAGGCCAAATGTTGGTGCACTTGGGCTGTGGCAGCCTCGTGTTAACGGATTAAGTGTCAGCAGATCTGTCTGTTGTACTCATCCTGCTGGTGTTAACAAGCTTTCTTCCCGCTGACTTTGAAAACTCCAAATCTTATTCCTTCCTCTGTACTGCCCGTGATGTTTTCCCCTCATTGGCAGCTTTATCTACAGCAGGGAAGTTTACAAAGAGAAAAGCCAGCCCCATTTTCTGCAGCAATGCCCCTCAGCATCCTCTAAGGCTGTTATCTCCATTGTAACTGAACTGCACAGCTGTTGAAGGGCTGTAAATATTACATATACTATTATTCATCACTTTGTGACTTCTGTAACCACACCAGGTAAATACAAAACAAAAAACTGACACGGAATGCTAGGAATAAACCACTGTCTGATTTTTAGAGCAAAGCTCCAATATATTTTACTTACTACATGATCCTGATTTGTGATATCATACTTCAGTGCAAAAGATTTTACTCTTCCTACATAGACTGCATTGTAGAATTTAATGAGATCTCCTCTCTCCTCTGTTCCCAGCTCAGTGGAGTCCTCCGCTGTCGATCTTCCCAAGGAATTACCACTTTTCACAGATGAGTCTAATTACAAGAGAAAGCTTCAGATTTTAGAACGTGGTATTAAATTGACTTCAGATTTAAGTTTGTAATATCCAACTGACAAGAGCTCGTTCATGAACTGACCAATTAATAAGATGATCTCATGAAACACGCTTCAAAGATGCACTGTAAGTGGTTATGAACATCAGAAGGAGTTATGAATCACTGCCAGCAGACTAGTGGATTATGACTGAAGTGGATAATGCAAATCTGTGCTACAGCTATTTCCAGCTTAGGAGTAGGAAATAAAGCAGTATTGACCCCTTTTCTTTATTTTTAAAAGGAGTAGCAAAAAGCCTTCTTTTTTCTGGTTCATCTTTTATGGACTGCTATACAATCCCAGCACAGTAATAATGAAATTAGCCAGGATGCTGAACAATGCTGAAGATACTCAGAACCTTCACCTTTCCAACACTCAGCATATGTGCTATCCAAACTTGCAACAATGCTTTAAGCAGTCTGACAACATGCAGCTTTTAGCTTCTGTGAAACTTTCTAGTCATCAGCTGGCAAAAAAATAGCTTCCTCTATTCACACCTACTGCACGGATGCCGTGATACCATCTTTGTAATTCTGTGGTGGTTCAGTGAAGAAAGCTGCAGCTGCACAGCAAGTTAATGTTATCTCTTGCCTGCTCAAGTCAGGCCATTACTGAACACAACATTCTGTTTCATTCTCCATGCTACTGACTGCCAAGCAAAACAAGATCACAAAAGAAAGCCTCTTCTTATCAGTGCAGTATGAAATAAAACATATAAAGAAAAATAAAAACCTTCAGTTGGTATCTGTAATTCTTTAGTACGTCTGCCTTGTGTTATACCACAGAGTTGTCAAAAGTTGTTAAAAAACAGGAGTTGATACAAGATGAGACACTAATCTATTAGGAACATCCAGGCAGCTGCTGAACAGGATGCTGAACCTATTGTTTTTTTTCCTTAAACACAACAAACAAAATAAAACATCTGTTCCAACTGGAAAGAATGTTTTCTCTCTCTCTCTAATGCAGGAGGCAGTGGATAAAATGGTTTATTATTCAACAATATATTTATTTTTCTTCAATATATTTAAAGCTCTAAAACTTATTTCCTTTCTCTTTATTACTTGACAGCTCAGTTTCATAAAAGCATGCAAGTACATTTCAAAAAAATATCAGATTGCCTTCCTTACCTCCTGCCATCTGTACATCTTGGTTTGCATTTCTCTCCAAAAGGACATTGGCAGAAGTATTTCTTAACAAAACACTCCTATAAACCTACAGGACACAGAGAAGAGGAAAAAAACCATTCTTGTCAAGGAAAACAGAAAAGACAGAAGATGATCAGGCACTGGAATGGGCTGACAAGGGAGGTGGGGGCGTCACTGTCCCTGGAGCTGTTCAAGAAACAGTCAGATGTTGTACTGAGGGACATGGGTTATGGGAAATATTGGTGGGAGGTGGATGGTTGGACTGGATGATCTTGGAGGATTTTTCCAACCTTGGTGATCCTATGAGATGAAAACCATCTGAGTAAGAATGAAGACAGCAATGAAGTTGACTTTTCCATTATCATCAGAATCATCCGAAGGCCACCTCTGCCTAACATTTATACAAAGGAAAGGTGCCATCATTTACTCACATGGCTGTTTGCTTGTGGCTGATTCCTGTAACTTTTCATTATATCTTGAAAAGTTCTTTCCTCTTTAGTGACCTGGAAAAGAAAAGGCTACTGAAGGCAGAGTGCAAACAGAAAGATAGGGCTGCTCAGGTGCAGTGTACTCAATTAGCTTCCTTGTACATAGATCTTTCATGAGCATTAATATGCTGACGGGAATATGAACATTTCCGTGTTCAAGCATTCTTTTTTTTATTTCTGATAGTAAAGCTATTTGTTGCCTAAGCTAGACATTATTCCTTTTCCAACTTTTCTTCCAGTGATACTAAAAATTAAAAATGAAGTTATTCCATCAGAAGATGTATTTGAACTTGAAAACTATGTGTCTTAGCTTTTCTAAGTAGAAAATGAGGAAATACTCAACAAAACACTACACAGGTATATATGCATACATACAATTTTAGTTTTCTTTCACATGACAGAATTGTTCATTTGCTACAGGACTCAGTTTTCCAGCCATCCAATTTACATTTTTAACTGAAGTAAAACTGTAATTCCTTAAGCCTATGTTACCTTTGCCATGATATAAAAGGCACAGAGGAGAAGCTGGTCCAAATGTCTGTCCTTCATCAGATCAGCACAATGAACCAATGTGAATTCAAAGCACGTCCAGATCTTCCTGCGCAGGTCATTGGAGACATCCAACTTTAAACACAGGTCACGCAAGCGCACGCTTGCCAGGTGGTAAACCTGGAAGAGAAAGACACACAGTAATGAATCAAGCCAGCTGAGCTTAACCTATCCTGCAGAAGTGAAAGCCATCACCAAAGTGTAGCTGTTTTACGTTTCAATACTTTGCTTCCTCAGAGTTTTCTCCTTCTGCCCACAAGAATGTCTTCAAATACTAAATTGTCAACTCTGTTCAAATGCTGGATGCTTATAGGAAACCTGATCTATTCCTTCTGTATTACATCACTCACTCACTACAATGGGATGCATTCAACCCTCTGGCTATGATGATCCAATCAGTTCTTCATCCACCAAATAGTCCAGTCTTCAAATCCGTCCTTCTCCACTTTAGGATATAAAAGAGAAAATCTCTGACAACAACTTCTTTAGTAAGAATATATCTCCCTGCCCTAAAAAAAAGTAGGTTCTTAGCCTATTCCTTTTACACCTTTAGACTTTTGAAGAAATTCCTTCTTTCTAGAAGCTTTGAGATAACATGTTTTTCATCCCTGATTTCTGAGGCCACACACCAGAAAGATCCACAGTACTGGGGAGATCTCAAAAATGCAAACAAGAGAATCTCCTGGTACAGGATCCAAAACACGGCAGTTTTGAATGACCAAAACACAGAAGGGCAATCTCATTTTTGATACATCTAACTCCTGCAAATGCGAGAGGCAATAACAAGAGAATTACAAACCAACAATGTCTCCTACAGAAGCTGCTGAATAAAAAAAAAACACAACCAAAAACATCTAATGATGGCACAGGGCAGAAGGTGAATGGGTGAATTCTCTATTCTAATAGCTTTTCCCTTCTCCCAGCAATATTATATGAAGACTGAAAGGTAATGTAACGCATGGAGTTTCAGCACAGCCACAGAGGTAAATCACACCTTCCTATCAAAGACACTTACCTTCCTGTAAAATAGTGCCAGGGATCCTGTTTTCTTTGGTTTGTTTCCTGATGACAGATGCACTTCTTGATCCTGATTCACCTGAGGGTGGCAGAGATCCTGAGCCTCTATTTTAGGTGCCTGACCTAGGTTCATCGAAATGGGAATCAATGTGATCCCACCCAACTCGTTTGCAATACCTAGAGATGACACAAGCATCCAAGAAATGAACTGTTAGCTGCTGCAACAATGCACTGTAGAACTGCAAATCCTAAACTCTTTCACAAGTATTTCATACAGAAGATATTTCTTCCTTTTACATCGAGCACCAAGAAAACCAAGTCTTTATAAATGATACAAAAGTACGTTTCTGGTAATGCTTAAAGGAAGAGTATGGTTGTGAATTATCATTTCTGAAACTATCTTCAAAGCACAAGGTTTACATGAAATTACAGTCTCTGTAGTCCCTGTTACCACTCTTCTGGGAGTGATGGGCATTGGTGTTCATTTCTGGATACTATTTTGCAAGTCTGACTATACATCGTATGCAGTCCACATTACTTTCTGTAGTTGTCAAATTCACTTAAAGAATGTCTCTTTAAACATGAAAAGTGGTGATTTTTTCATTTTATCTTCCTGTATGAAGATGCAGATTTTGAAATTCAGAAAGGCTACAAAACCTCATTTCTTGTGTATCCTTGTAAGAAACAGTCAGGCATCAGTTTCAGTAAAACAAAAAAAGCCAACTTCCCCCAAAAATAAATGTAACCCCCCCACTATTTTGTTTAATGTCTATACACAGCCCTTATTCAGAAATTTCAGTCTTCTTAGATTACAGTAGACAAAAACTAGAGCAAGCAAGAATGAATCATTATTAGAGTTGAGAAACAAACCAGTGCTTAACCTGTGATGAGATTTAACTAGAAGGAGGAACTCCACAACTTTGTTTGCCAGGTGGGATCCTTGGCACTCTTGTCAGATATCAGATTAAAACACAGAATGAGATGTTAGTACAAAAGCTTAAGTCCTGCTGCTGTGTTTGCTTGCTTGCTTTGTTAATGCTCTCTTAAAAAAGGAAAAATAGATACAAGAAGGATGGTCCATCTAGCCAGATCTAAGAGTAAGCAAAACATCTCACATGGAAGAATACCTTGCAGTGGAATAGTAACTTTCTGTCCTGCTTTTCCTGCTACCGTTGCTGTTGTCACAGTCAGTACTGTCTGCCCAGGAGAGAGGGATACATTTTCAGCAGCAATGCTTGATGCTGGAGCAATTGTCAACTTCGTACCCTCTGTTAAAATCTTTTCCATCTGCATTTCTTTGGGGCTGTCATCTCCAAAGAGTCTTCTCTTGGCACTTCCTGCTGTAGGGGAACTGTAGCGCTCGTGCACAGAGATTGGTGACAATGGCTGAGTGTCTGGTGAGCAAAGGAGAAAAGAGAACATCTTCAGTGGAGCAGCTAAACAGGAATATTTCTCCACAGCATGAGAAGAGGCGAACTATAACAACAGATTGAAATGCATTAATTCTGGTTAAGAAGTAATCACACAGTTCACTGTTTCTTGGCAATATAAATAAAGACCTACAGTCCTTCAACTGATTTCTGTTACTCTGTTGTTATCCTGGACAGTTTGGTTTCATAATCTGATAGCAACAGGAAAGACAGGAGCAACCAAACTACCAGTGCTGCTTGTGGAAAGAACATTCCTCATGGTGCAGAAGCTTTCTGGCTAACTAGCAAGGAGAAACCAATGGGACTCCTCACTTCCCCTCTGCCAGGATGGTCTGCTGGGTACCAGGAGCAAACAAACATTTCCAATCCCCATTGTCTTCCATGTGAAGTTAGGAAGAACACTTGGTTTCTTATAGATGGTACCAGGTTCTCACACACCTCTGTCCATCTCCAAGCTGCTTTCCCTTCTACTGAACAACTCACCGTAACACCTGCAGTAACTACCAATACATCACTTCCCTAATACACTTGAGCATTTAAAAAATAATTAAAGTTTTGTAACATGATTTGCCAGATGAAGACAAAAGGCAACATTACAGTGCACAAGCAAGAACTTATGGACTCTTGTATGGGATACAGTGAAAGCAGCACATCCTAACCAGTAAAGTGGCAAAAAGCAACAGCAGTGCTTCCACTAACCCTTCATCCTCACCCTTAAGGATGTTCTACACGATGCCTGGGAAGAGCAAGGCAGTTCTTCAGAGGAAAAGAATATTGCAGACAAATTATCATCCTGACATCCTGCAAAAGCAAGCTCAGTAGGAAGAGGACTAAATGCAATTTTGTCATCTCAATTTGCAATAGCAAGGGGTGACAGTGGCAACCATCACTGAACCAGTAGGACAACATGCAGAGAGACTGTGGTCTGAAGGATTAGAATGGTAAGAATGAAACAGAGCTACCAAAAATGCTGGACACTGCAAAGAAAAGGTTATACTTGATATACTTGAAGGAAAGGAACCAAAAATCCAGTCCAATTCACTGAGAACAACAACAAAAAAAAACAAAAAACAAGAACAAACAGTCCCAATAACAAAAAACCCCCACAACCCCAGCAAAGACTGCAGTAACCAGATGACAACTCACCCTACGAGTCAGGTAACCCTGCACCTACACAAAGGCACGACCTGCTCCACTTCACACATGAAGCACGATGACCCATGACTGCTGCTAGTAAAACACACAAGGGTTTGACTGGGTGCATCTAGACTTCTCCTTGATCAACTGGGACTAGAACTAACTAAATAAAATCACACATCCAAAATATATGAAGAACTTTGAACATACCCCGTCTTAAACTCCCGCCAAGATCTGTCCGAACCTCTTTTACTCGAGGATGAACTATAGGAGATATTGGCATCATAGGCAAATGCCCAAGCCCACCTCCTCCATTGTTTGCTTCAAAATTATTGGGAAATATTACCTGAGAAATAAGAAATACCAATGTAAGATAACAAATAGCTTCCCTTTGTCCCAAATCTTAATTTTTTTTTCCTGCATAAACTGTTCCATTTGAACAGTGTTCTGTATGAAGCAGCAGTAGGAAGAAGATAATTTTTTTTCAATAAAGAGGAAAACAAATAACATACTTCTTCACAGGTGGGAACCCTGTTTCCTGAAGCCTGGAGAGCAGTCCACAGTGCTGAATCCCGAGTCCAGGCAAGGCTCTCAAGGATTTGCTCCTCAATGCTGTTGAGGTGCTTCACCATGTCTCTGGAAAGTCCTTCTTCAGACCGAATCAGTACTTCAATTACCTAACAGTAACAAGGCACACATATCAAAGCAAAGTCAAAGTCTTGCTTAACACAATCAAACCATTATTCATTTCGGGACTGTGTTCAAAACTTCCCTTCAAGGTGGAACGCTCCAGCTTCCCCCTCACCCTTGAACCCTCCCCAGCCCTTTCTGACTCCCCTGAGCAACCCAGCTACCACCAAGACACCCACAGAAGCAGATTCCCCAAACATTCTGCCCTGACCACCGCCCTTCCTCTGTTGGTTTGGCTTTCTGATTTTTCATCTTATGTCACACTTCAACAGAATAGAGGCACAGAGGCCTTCAACATCCTACTTCTGCATTTCAGTACAGCTGTGCTGTCCTGTGTCCATACAAGCACACAGATATACATGAAATAGACATGTCAAGTCCAAACACATTCCTTTATTTCCTTTTAAAAGTACAAATTAATTACTTTTTTTTTTTTTTTACTCCCTTTGCCAAAGAGGATCTGGAAACGGACAGCAAACATCCTGTTAGCAGAGAATAACTCCTCGCAGGGTGCCTTCAGGCCCCTTCTCACACTGAGCAGATACAGAAGGGATGCACAAAGCACATGCCATGTTACAACCAGGCAGACATGAGCAGGTGCATCAGATTCAGCTGGGCACATGAAAAGAACTAGAAGTTTATTAATAGCATGTTACAGTGAAGTACAAAAAGGTTTACTTGCTTTAGATTTCAGCTTCAACTCAAACATTACACATCCCAGGTAACGTTAAGAACAGGCAGAATTTAGAATAGGCAAGGCACACGTTAACGTCTGTCTCTCTCCTACATGACTACTAGGAGAGCACCACTGTCTGAGACTGTCAGACAGGTAACATGCCACTTTCAGTGCACATTTAGACAGTATGTATTTACCTTATAAAAATAGAATGGCCTGAGGTCAAGCACTTCGATTATCCAGGGAAAGGTGCGAGGAGAGCTGTATGCAAAAAGCACGATCTCCAAGCAGCACGCCATGAGGGAGCGGTGAAACACATCTTGTTCCAGGAGAGCCTTAAGAGATGAGAGGAGATGCCAATGACCTGAGCTTATGGAAATGGAGGCACATATACGTTAAAAGCCTTCTAGGCACAATCACAGGCATCTCAGTATTAATCTAAGAAACCCCATGCTCACAGAGCCTCCAAAAAAACAACTTTTTAGGGAGGGAAAAGATGGGATCCCTTAAAATCATTATTATAAATATAAATATCTTATATTACTATAAGAATATAATTCACATAATAATGGCAAATCTCTACAATTTTCAAAAGTAGTCAGATTATACTTAAAAGAGAAACATTTGGGACGTGTAACATTAACGATCCACATGCGTTGCTGTCTGCAGGCTGATCTGTGCTGGAACCATCAGAACATATCCCCCCACAGAGGACTTATGAAGTGTCCTCTTTTGCAGGTTCTTTACTTACAGTCATGTCCTTCCCATGCAGTCTTCGCATTTCTTGTACCATTATAGTCTCCAAGATCTTATAGTACAATATCTCTGCCAGTTTTAATCTGTTTACAGCAAAATCTGAAATTTAAAACCAACGCTGATGAAGTCCTGTGCTATTTCCACAAATGGCCTCAGTCTGCACTGACCCATACTTGGCCTCCTCTAACAAAACACAGCACACATGTACACATCCTGCAAATGCAACAGCACCCTTCGATATGTGCTAGTCATAAGAGCAGCACGCTATTCTAGAAATACTGGAGAGGACTATTAATATTTATACTGAAGTCATTTGGAAACAGTTGGAATACGACTAGGAAACGCACTGTACTTCCTTCAGCTTTAGGAATACAAGTCTACAGTTTTTGTTAAAATCTCTAAAGTGACTGGGAGTGCTGACTGCTAAAAAGAGTTCCCCATGTACTGAGACAGCACATAGCTGAACTTTACGTTCTGGAACATCCCATGAATTTCACCTTCCTACCTATATGAGATCCTGGCAGTTCGTCTGTTGGCTGAGTGTAGCTGTGACAGAACGTCTCCCCTATTTCTCTCACTCTGTTCATGATGCTTTCTGCAGGGCTGCGTGCACAAGACCTGCAGGAGAACACAGGAAGCAAGCCTTGGCCATGTGAGTAAGTGGCCTGTTTCCTGAGCTTTCTGTTAGACAGTAACCCCAATATCATAAATACCAGAGGAAACAGATCACATGGAAAGATCGTTTCCGTCCTGCTGCACAGATTTTACAGCCAATGTAGGAGAAATTGAGAGCACATCCAGGAGAAAAATGTATCCAGTAGGAGCAAGGTGTGAGAGCTCAGGAGAGCTTTCAAAAAACAAAAGCAAGGCAGAAGGGAACTGATGAACCTCCACGGTCACTGCTGGGAAAAGCACCCAGAGAAGCTCTCCATTTGGAGATGCTCTTTCTGAATGCCTCCATATTCAGAGGACAGTGGCTCAAGACTGGCAGCAAATGCAGACACTGAGTTATGCTGAAAAGCCAGCGCTGCAACGATGGTTTCCTCAAACAAAGCTTCCTAATTGATTAAAAAGTTATTCTTCCAAGGAATTTATATCTGAAAGAGTAACCATTCAGAAGCATGGACCATTGCAGAGTCAAAACCACAGTTCTTCTATTCCTCCCAGTCAGCCAACACATATCCTAGCGTCTGCAGAATTCACATTCAAGATGAGCAAAGCACTCGACACATTTATTATCAGAGGCTTTTCTCAGTGCTCATCTAAGTTTTAATATTTACATCTATTGACAGGTTATTACTTGAATGAACACGTTTTTCATTAGATTACAGATACATTTTAATAAGATGATGGAAATAACATCAGACTTCCATAAAACACCTGCCAAAAAGACACACATCCTTTCAATCATTTGTAATCCCAACTTCTAAGATCATCTCTTAGAAAGACCTTCAAAACAGACAATTCCAAAGATGAGAACTAGAATTACTATCTTCATCTATTCATGAAGGTTGCCACAAAACATTACTTTTACATGTCAGATATTAAGTGCTAATACTAAGTACCCATTATTACTAAAAATAGTAATAAATAAAAAAATCCAGAGCCCATACACCAGTATTCAGCAAGACTCCAATTCGTAGAGAGTCAGACAACTGCCCAATGGCTACATAATTATCTATTATTAAATTTTTACTTGTTACCAAGCAACACTGGTCCACCTTTTACTGCTGCACTATTTGTATTTTTATCTGCTTACACACCAATGTTTTCCAGCATGTTTCACTACAGTCAGCACACAGATGTGCATTTGGGAGGCTAAAACTGATCTGCAGAACAGGGTGTTTCTCTCAGAAACGGTGGTGAGGAAGGCCTGGGGCTGCCTTCAGCAGTTACTTAATAAGATTTCATACAGCTGCTGAAAGGGACAAATGAGAGGATGCTGGTGATCCCTCAGGGATGGGAGGGTCCAGCTCTCCTCCAGAAGAACAGACCATTTAAAAAACAATGTTCTACTTAATACTGAGACCCATTAACTGGAAATAAAAGAGAAACACAAGCAAAAAAACGCACTGCACCAAAACAAAAAAGTGGAATCTGAGAAAGAACGCAGCCCCAAGCATGAAAAGATGAGTCTGCACTTGTAAGAGAACAACTGCAGTGGATGTACTTACTCAAAAATAGCTATAAGCAGGTCACTAGGTGCATTTTTCAACCCAGCCACAATGTTCTGCAACCGACTCACACTTTGTGTGGCTGAAGCAACAGGAGTGATGACAGCTTCCTTTTCTCGTAGGTATCTTCTTCCAGTCAGAGGAGTTGAAGGTGCAAATGACCTTTTCTGTGAGAGAGATGGATGAATAAAAAAAAAAAAAACAATAGAAGTGGTGCAAAAATAGCATCTCCTGCAAAATCATGTCTGAGTTTAAAAAAACACAATTAAAATGCTGCCAAAGAAGGCTGCCAAATCTGTGCTCTTAGAACTCCTGAAATATTAGTTCCTTTTCCCAATGCTGGGCTCCTTAAATACATATAATCCTCTTTTCCTGTATCTTCCCATACACCCACTTCATTAGATAGAGTTCACGTTTTTAAACACAGTGAAACACCAACTTTGCTTATAGCTGCTGTTTGTAACCAAAGCAGGGGAGTCAGACTTTGGTAGGTTTCATGTCTTGAATGCTATTTTTCATAGAACAGTATACAGGTTGACTTTTCCTGTCATCAAAAAGAAACACAGGAAAACACAAATTAATCCAGTGTTAAGATTTCATGGTATTCTTAAAGGATAAGCAGCATGAAATAACTCTAAGACAATATATGGAGGTCTTAACTACCTACACTTTTTCCCTGGACAAAATAACACTCGTTCACCTTCAGAAGTGCTTCCACCCTGCTCAAGGAGCAGTTATTTCCTGCATTAGCAAAGACAACACCGCAATTTCTCTTAGCAAGGCTGCCCAACTAAGCCTGTGAGTGACATTCACCTTCTTCCTCCCAGTGAACCATTCAAGCAACGCAGCTTTTCCAAGTCATCTCAGGGATTCATACAATACAATTGCATACAATGGTGGGAAAACTTGACTGCAAATGAAGGAGTGCTCCACACAAAAACAAGTTACACGAATCACCTTTTCGAAGTGCTGCTGAAGGTGACACTCCACGTGAGCTCTTGCTGCTGTTTTCCCCACTTGCAAGTCTGCAGGAAATTTCCGAGGAGTGCCAATTTCTTCCTCAGCATCTGCTCCTAGGAAAACTCTCTCATCAAAGTCCCCCACTGTTAGAACATACTCCTCATACTCTTTATTCAGTGCTTTGCTGGAAGAGAAGCCAAATTTTACAGCAAAGGTTAAACTGCTGAACAAACACAAGAAGTGAAGCCAACACAAACTCAAAGCTTCTAATGCTCTCAGAAGCAGTAGTGCTTGTACATGGAGCTCCCCTACGTGAGCAGCCTGCTCACAGCCCTCCTTGGCTGCCTTCAGCTCCAAGCCTCTCACAGCAGCACACTGCACAGCCTGCTCTTCTCCCACCAGTGCTTCATGGAGCTGTAGAATCATAGAATGGCCTGGGTTGAAAAGGATCACAATGATCATCTAGTTTCAACCCTTCTGCAACGTGCAGGGTCACCAACCATCGAACCAGGTTGCCCAGAGCCACATCCAGCCTGGAATGGCTTGGGTTGGAATGGACCTTAAAGATCATTGTGTTCTAAGCCACCTGCCGTGGGCAGGGATGCCTATGCAGTGCATTAATCTCAGACAGTGCTGAAATCAAGGCGCCAGGCTCCACAGCTGAATTGCTTCACACACACAATATATACATATACAGAATCTGGCTTTTCTGAACAGTTTTCCCATCTGCTGATCCAGAAATGTTGGGATCTTAGACTGAAACCTGCCAAACTAGGATGTATTTGCTTCAAATGACATTCACCAACATGGACATCTTCAGAATTATTCCATTCCCTTATACTTTCCTAATGAATTAGAAAAAAAAAAAGCCTTTCTTAGATGGTAATTAGCATTAAATTAGTTCCACACACTCTACTGTGTGGAAACAGAAGAAATACTCCCAAGGATTTTGAAAACCTGGTAGATACACATGGAACATGGGACCACAAGGGACTTGGTGATGCACACCAAGGCTGCCACAGCCTTTTCCCCACTTCCATTCTTGTACCCATTCCCTTCTGTGCTGTAAAGTGAACTGACATAAAATCTCATAGCAATGTGGAAAGAAAATGGAACCACTCTGGGCTGGGAATGGAAAGAGATCTACAATACCAGTGTTGGTATTTAGAAAAGTCTGATGATTGCACAGGTTGAGTTCTGAATTGTACATGAAGAAAGCACTGTGCCCTTGCAGTGGGCTGAACAGCATATATATATATATATATATTTTTAACAGAGCTTGGAGCCATCTGTGAGATATAGATATAGGGCAAGTCCTTCAAAAGGAAGAGTCTAGATGTGAATGGAGCTGTCTCCTTGGGGCAGTGGAAGTCTAAGTGCAGAATATAAAATGCTGACAGAAATTCCCAAATCAAAACAACTGCAGACTGACTGAGCTTTGTTAACATCAGGTGGAGCTGTGTCTCCCTACTGCTGCTTAACTATTTCCCAGCAAATCCTGATTTCTTTGTCATGAGGAACATGAATGAGTTGAACTTCAATATGTTCCACTGAAACCTCACTGAAAACTCTTCCTGATAAGAAGTCACTGGGCTCGCACAGGGAAAAAATGTGCTTCCACCTCAGATACAGTTTTGAAAGCCCATCAGAAGCTAAAGCTCTGTCCAAGCAGAGCAGCAGGGGCTGTGTTAAGTCTGAGCTCTGCTTTGGCTGCCTGGCGCACAGTGGCATCTTCCCTCACTGGCACAGAGGAAGGGAACTGAAGCTTCAGTTTCCTCAAATCACCATTGACATACCATGATACTGAACAACTCCTTTCTTGATTCAGCTAACCTGTGTGGAACAGGAACATTTAACCTCATAAAGGCTGCAGAGCATTCCGTTTGGGCAAAGGTTTCCTCAGATGTCATCTAATAATGAATAGGGAACACCGCCTTACTTGACGTGACAGTAACTATTAACACTATAACTCTTTCAGCAGGAATACTAATACAGCTCACTGCTCCATAGGGATCAGAGCAGCACTGCTTTATCTGAATGTGATCTGCACCATTACAGTGGGGCAGTCACTGCTCACACTTCTCACAAAGCAAAAGGCTCAGTTAAAACCTCCCCTTGCAAAAATGAATTATTGGCTACTTGTGGAAGAGGAAAAAGCTCTTTATGGGATCCAGAACAAAGCAGCTGCAACTCATCTTTTCATTTAAATTAGTTTTGAGAATTAAATGTTAGAAGTTCCTGAAACAGCTCCGCTTGCCTCCCCGGCAACACTCCACTCTTCTCTTGTGGTTTTGCAGTTGTTGCTCCTTTTTCTCTTGAGCTCTCCCACTGCATTCACAAACTTATGCGCTTAACTGGAGAGTAATAAACAATCCTAAATACTTCCCCATTCACATACAAATATTGAGGTATGCATAATAACACATTCATGAACTCCAGAGCTTTGATTTGCATCAGACTACACAAAAATTAAGAGCTGCCAGAACACCACAGCGTTATCTACACTGGAAAAGACCCTAAAGATCAAGTTCAGCTATCAGCCAGCACTACCAAGCCACATCCATGCATCTGCAATACCTGTAGGGATGGGGAGTACAGCCCTGCCCTGGGCATCCTGCTCCAGAGTCTTAACACCTTTCTGTGACCTGACATTAAGGAAGAAACTCTGTAGCTCATCTTCTGATATTGGAGGTATCTCAGACCCAGGAAGCATTTAGGTAAGTAACAGCATGGGTTCTCAAATCACCAAAAGCAGTGATACAGTAAGATATGGAAAACATGAGATTTAGCATTCAAAGACCCATACTCAAGAAATGAAAGCCAAGTCCATGATTAAAAACACACACTATAACTTACTTATTTTCTGTAAAATTGCAAAGATCCAACAGACATTCTCCTTTTAAGATCTAAGAACAAAAAAAAAGCAGAAATATCTTACATCATCAATCAAAACCATTCCATCTCTAACAACGTGACAGCAAGATGGTCCTTGCCAAAAGCACCAAATGAGCATAACCAGATTTGTCCTTTTGCCCAGACCAGAGCAGCACAATGCTGTTGGTAACAGGCACAGGCCAGGCCAAAGCTCAGCTCTGTCCAAGCTGTAGTAAACGCACAGCTCAGGAGCAGTGCTGCTACCTCTGCCCCCTGGCAGGGAGGAAGCAATCTGCTGTGTGACTACAGACATCTCCATGGAGCTTAGAGAAGCTCTCCAGGAGCAAACCCACATAGAACAGTTTTTCCATCTGTGACCCCAACCTCCTCATTCAGAGCACTATGTTTACCCCAAGACACACACTGGGACCCAGATAATCATGACAGCTGTTCCACAAGATAACATCATCTTTAATTAAAAAAGCTTATCACCCACAATGCAGCTTCCATACTGCCAAAAAAGTAAGGATTCTTCACTGACATAAAAAGCCAAAACAGAGGGGGCCCTACAGCACACATCATTAGAAGGGGGAGTTCAGTTCTGCTCCCACTGAAATGCAGACCAACAGACCTGAACCAACACGAGTCCACACACCTACCAGAGCACTTCCTTCCAGCACATGCAGGATTTCAATGCTCAAGACAAGACCATTGGTACAAACACTATCACACATCCTTCAAACAGTAATACACACCTTCCTATCGAACAGCTTTGAAATGTATGGCTTGAAGTAGTGCTCCTTTATTCCTTTTGCTTCCACGAGAAGCCCATCATGCAGCTCACAGAGCGTGGCAATGATGCACGGAGGGTCCTCTGAGGCTTTCATCTCTGGTGCACGGAAGTCTGCTGGTAAGCCTGGGAATGGGAAGGAGAGAGAAAAACAAAATGATGACCAACCTTCAACTTCACTTATAAAAGAATAACCAAAGGAACAAAGTGTATTTCATTTTGAACAGCCTATCCCCACTGTACCTTTAAATGATGGATTTAGCAAATCTTTTCGATTTGGGCACAAAACGGCATTTGCAAAAACCAGGTCCAAGCAGCACAGAAGTAGATGATAAGAATTTACTAAATCATCCCCAATCATACGGAAATTACCTTTAAGAGAGCACATCACGTCAGACAACACAACAGAAGCTCATAACTCAGAACGCATGAGAAACACACGGCTGCAGAACGCAAGCCTACCCTTAGTGTACACAAACAGGGTCCAGCAGAAGTTGAAGAGATCCTTAACACCACACAGCACCCGCCTGTCAACGAGAGGGGCAGGAGTCAGTCTCTGCTTCCAGGAAGCTGAAGCGTACTGCTTAGCAAGAGTTCCCTTCTGCTCAAAGCAACAGTCGGAGCCACCATCTCACAAGTTACACACTAAGGCACGCTGTAAGTTGCCGGCACACAGAGCAGCTCTCACTGCAGCCTCCTGGATAGCTCTGCAGAGCTTTTTGCACAGCATCACCAACTGCTCTGAGCCAACAGCTGCCTGTGGTCGGTGCCCCAGGCACACCACATTGGTGATGCTGTAATTGTGACAGGAGTCTCACAGAGCTGCATGCAGCACAATGCTGAGGGCTCTATCAATTGCAGTGCACCCTTCTTCTAAACATTTTACTAAAGCATCACGCATCCTTTCAAAATATACAACTACAACTCGACTGCAGCTCTTCTGGTGAATACTTTAGAAGTAGAGATGAACCAAAACCACTCGACAGAGAAGCTGTGCGCTCACGCTAACAAATGCTGCTCTGATGAAGGAACACGAATGGAGTGCATGAACATTTCTCCTCATGCTGGCACAGCAAAGCTGTTTGCAGCAGCAGCAGCTGCTCCCTTCCCATTTGTGCATAAGGAGCTACATCAGAGTGGGTTACCGTAAATTACCCCCTCACATCCAGACCAATACACGAGGCAGCAGAAACCCCCAGCACAGAGCCAGCTCAGCTCCCTCTGCTGAAGATCTTATCCTCACAAGAACTACCAGAGACAGCCACGCAGTCAACGCGTAACAAGGATGAAGCCCTTTAATTAAGAAGTGCTATGGGCATCAGGAAGAGGACACCACCAGTCACCGTGTGTCACACAGATGAGCACATTGGCTGCAGTTTGCTCTCACAGAAGGGCTGGTGCTCACCTGGCAGTCACATAAAGCAGCGGCACGTTGGAGCCCGCTGATGCAGCACTGTGAGGAGCGCATGGAGGGACAGCAGCCCGGTCTCAGGCATTGCCCCATGCCTGCACTGAGCATCCCTGCACGCCCGCTCAGTCACTTCAGAACTTGCCCTTATTTTTTAAAGCACAACCAATGCTCTCCTTATTTGTAAACCTGTTGTAAAGCCACACGAGAGCTCCCCGATACCTCTGCTTCCTGCTCCGTTGGGGTTTCGAAGTTTCCTCGTTAGGGTTTTGAAAGATATCCAAAAATATCGGTTCAAACTTCCTGAAGATGACGGTGGACACCTCGAAGTTCCTCTCCAGCCTCTCCACCCGCTCCCGGAACTCCTGCGGCACATTCGACATGTCCATCCACTTCTTCATTTTGCTAAAGAACTGAATCAAACTTAAAGAGGAAGAAAAGGAAAAAAGAAAAACAAAAAACGACAAAGAAAGCGTTGCGTTATCACCGGCTTTAACCGCCGTTCTGCCTCAGCGCTGCCCCGTGCGGGCCGAGCGGCGCACCTGAGCCTGGCGGAGCGCAGGATCCGGGTCAGCGACACGCAGTTGCCCTCCATCAGGCCGCTCCCCACGGTGGGCAGCACGCTGCGGCGGCACGCGGCGTACAGAGCGCAGGCCAGCCAGTGCTGCGCGTCCCCCTGCAAGGCAACGCCGCTCGTGGGGCCGGGGCAGCTCGGCACGGCGCGGCCCCGCCGCCCGGCCCCACCGCCCACCTCCAGGCTGTAGGTGCCGCGCAGCGCCGTGAAGTCGCGGAGCGCCTCGGCCGCGCTGCCCGCGTCCAGGTTGAGCTCCCGGCACAGCCGCTCGACGGCGGCGCCGAGCTCGGGCTCGGACGGCGGCTCGGCGCGGGACATGGCGGCCCGGCGCAGCCGGCACGGCGCCGCGCTGCGCTCTGCGCGCCAAAAACTCCGAGCCGGAAGGGGCGCGGCCACTTCCGGCGCCGAGGGCGCCGACGGACGGGAAGCGGGAGGGGGCGCGGGGTCGGAGCGGTTCCGGGCCGTGCGGGTCCGTGCGCAGGGAACGGCGGAGCCGCCCGGCGCGGGCCGCCGTCCCGGAACCCGAGCGCGCCAGCGGGAAGGCTCGGAGCGGGGGCCGGGCCGTGCGCGCGCCGCGCCCGCTCTGCACGGCCGCCGTCCTCGGGCGCGGGGCGGGGCGGCCCTCGGCGGGCGGCGCGCGGGGCCGCACGGCCGGCCAGCATCGCCCTGCGCCTTCCTGCCGGCCCGCCGCTGCCCGCCGACGGACGGCTCCCAACCGGGGGAGCGGCGCCGAGGCGCGCGGGGCAGCCGGCCGGACCGCGCGCGTCCTCGAACTCCTGCGGAATTTCCGCGCGCGGCTTCCGGCTGCCGCCCTGCTTCCCCGAGGCGGAGGTCCGTCGCAAGCCGCTTTGTGGCACCTCGCGGCGCCGCTCCGTCCCGCGGGGGACTGCTGGCCGTCGCCGTGGCCGCTCTCGGGCGCCCCGAGAGCTCCGGGATCGGCCCGCCGTGCCTTCGGGGCTGCGGCAGCCCTGGGAGCCGCGGCGCCGCCCGAACGCCGCTCCGCTATGGGAGCGCGGCGGGCCTCGGCGCTCGTGCCGAGAGAAAGGCAAGGAACCGTTATCACTGAGTCAGGTGAATTAAACGTTCACATATATTTGCTGAAAAAAATTATATACATCTGTAGCAAGGCTCTGCCAAGTCTGAAAGATAAGCATCATCTAGTCACTAAATTAAAAAAATAAAAATCTGACCTTTAAATCTTTTTTTTTTCTTTTTCTTTTTATCCATGTCCAAGAGCACAGACCGTTTATTTTGTTAGCACATTTGGTGGAGGATGGATGTTCGTGTGAGTATCCATGGAAACCGGCGACAATTTGGCATTTCTTTTGGATAGGATGGAAAATTATAAGAAGCCACTTAATGCCTTACAGCCTAAGTAATCCACAGAGTATATCGGGTTGCAAAAGGGTCACAAAGTAGCAGTCAAAGAGAAGCCTAAACACCCAGAGACTTAGCGTACACGTCTGATAATAAGAACAAGGTATAGAGCATGCCGGCTAATTAAATAAACGCCACTTAAAACCCTGTTCCTTATGAGTGTAACCTGGAAAAACCATCCCGTGCGAGAAATGGACTCTGAAGAGATGTCTACATCCAGTCACAGTAAGGCTTTGAAGATACATGAAGTTTTATAGCATTTGTATTTTAAGGATTTAGGGCAAGTACATGTTCTTCTACTGAATAAAAAGAAAGTTAGTACTTAAAAGGTTCAAAAATATATCAATCGTGATTTTTTTTTTTACATAAATAAATTATATCGATTTTGGATTTAACAGCTGAGAAAACCCTTTCTGCTTCCACTGGAGGCAAAACTGAACAAAATGTTAGTTAAATAGAGATAGCAGCATTTCTAAGAAATCTGTCGATAGCGATACAGTATCTATGCTACAAGGAAGTTATTAAATAGAAGACATTTAATTGGGGGGGGTTGCATCGTGATTGGTTACAGACTTTAAAAAATAACCCAATCCAGGAATCTGGGAATACGTCCGTGAAAGGATGAACTTTTCAGCTCGTGGGTAACAGACTTCTTTGAGATGCTGATTTCAACATGTACACCATTTATCATTCCAAATGTATAAAAGACAATGACAAAAAAAAAAAAAAAAAAAAAAAAAAAAGCATCATAAATAAATAATGCAAACCGAAATAGTTATGCCAAAACATTTGGACCATCTGATAAATTAGCAAAACGGTAACAGAAAATAAGTAAAAAATACAGTAAATTGTGACGACCAGATGTGTGACCGGTGACTTGACGCTCCCAACGCCCGCCGCGCTGACTTCAAGTCTCAAACCATGAGCTGCAAATGAGAACGAGCCCAAGTGAAAGGGAAACGAAAGGAGTGAAGGGAAGGAGAAACGGAGGAGTTGCCTGTGGAGGTGTCTCAACACACACAGAGTTTCGGGCACTGACTGCATTAAAACCTGTCCATTTCAAATGCATACGTCAAAATCATTTGCCGATGGGGGGGACTTGGAAATACTGATCAACAGCACGTAGAGGAATGGAAAGAAGAAGCAAACGTGATCTCTTCACAGTCTACCACTAGGAAAGAACAAACTCGAGCTTTGGAGATCCCGCGGCCCTTCTGCCCTCAGAGCAGCACAGCCTGCAGCCTCCCCTGCTCTGACAAACACCGCGTCTGAACGCGGATCCCAACGGACAGCAACTCAAAAAGCCTCAGTGTTCATAAAAGAGCATTAAAATCAGTGTGGCCTGTTTGTGGCCTGAAAAAATAACGTTACAGCACTCCTAATGCCATAGATGAGGACTAACGCCGTAGATGAGAACGGAATTCTAGCGGGGCCATGGGGGAACTGGTAGCGATGGGTACAGGAGTCCCAAAAAGTCATGCAAGATGTGCAAAATGTTTTCAGCTCAGGCTGAAAAGCTCTCATAACTATTGAGGAAAGGGCAACGAAAACTCCACTTAACGTAAAACCAAACTTTGGTTTGAAAAAATACAAAAGAATGCCTACGTAATATCGTCACTCACTGTCGTTTGTTTCCAAACCTTTGAGGTGGGGGTGATGGAGAAATTATACCACTACCAGTAATGTCTCTTTGTTTCAAAGAAATGAATATATGCATTTTCAATCATTAGGTATATACTTCTGTCTATACTACTATTCTAGTAACCATGATAAAATAGGGAAATACTTCAAATCAAAAATACACATCAGCACTTACTATAGCTGTGCTTTTTACCCCCAAATACAGGCTTTGTCACTCAGTGTCGCTGGAGAAAGAACCACCCCTGTCAGTGTATAGACCAAGAGGTGAGAGCTTTGCTTTTGCTCTGTTTTTGCTTCCTTTTCTTCTCAAACGTGTGAGCGGTTTGGGGGGTGCCCAAGAACTGGATTTGCTCGGCTGGGATGAACGACTGGAAAACAGAACGAGAATTCTGTGCCTCCCACACTAGCTAGACAACACTGTTTATCTAATAAAGTGGCAAGACCCTGCAACTATTAACATATAATATGTCACCATAGTTTTCTGACAGGGAGTTAGGTAGATAATATTACTCATGGAAACACAGGTTTATGAAGGTGGAGTGGGGGCAGGAGGGTAAGTAACAAATAGGTATGGGATAAGAAACTTACAAGCCACAATCTTTTTTTTCAATGAAACAAAAGTTCTAATTGGTATCATTAACTTCTTTGACCTCCTCCTCTGCTGGTACATCCTGCTCTTTCTCTGCTGGCAAAGGCGGTGTTTGCTCTGTACAGTTTTGACCATTTGCAGCTTCTTTCTCGGGCAGCGAGACAGTTTCTGGTTCTGGGTTCGCTGCGTCCCCTTTCGCTTTCTTTCTCTTCCGCTTCTGACTCTCCAGGCTGGCTGCCTCTGCGTGCCTGGCCTGCTGCATGCCCGGCAGCGCCATGCCAATGCCAGGGGAGAGAAACATTGACGGATAGATCAGTCCGGGTGACATCCCTGGGATAAGAAACGGGTTAAAAGCTACAGGACTACTGGTAGTTATTGCGGATTCTGTCTGATTAGAAAACGAACTAGGGCCGGGCTTATCTTCAGAAAGAGTTTCTTTTTTCGCATCCTGGCTGCTCTGTTTATCCTCAGTAGCTTTCTCTGCGTTCAATGTACCACTTTTTGTTGTGCTTGTTAAGGAAGTCGGAGCAGTCGCGGTACAAGTCGTTGCCATGGGTGGGTTGAGAAGCCCTCCGACGCCAAACATCTGCGGTACGGTGGCCATGCCTGGCAGCATCATGGGCAACATGCTCAGGGTGCTCTTCACGTCCTCACCAGCAGGCACGGCCGCAAAGCCCGCAGGGAAGCCGACCAGCCCGGTCAGGGGGATCCCTTGCATGTTTCTCATGTTCTGAAGTCCCACTAGGTCCATTCCGGCAATCAGTCCGTTCATGAACAATGGTCCCATTCCAGAAGAAGAATCTGCTACTACACCGGGGCCTTTGATGAGCTCACTTCTGGGCCGCCTCCCCCTGCGGCGCGGCCCCGCATCACGCAGCACCGGCTCAGTCAGCACACGGTTGAATTTGCTTTCTGGTAAGTAGCCCTAGGAACGAAACAGAGACAACACAAAATGCCTCATTACTGCACGAGAGGAAATGTGGCTTTTCCGTACTCGCGTCTGCGTCCCAGATGGTGTCGGCACAGAAACATTTGCTTACATGATTCTGGATATGGAATTTGAGAGGTATGCGCAACTGTTCCCCAAGGGATGCTGCCAAACGCAGAACATCCTCAGTGTGCCCTGGCACAGTGCTGCAGTGCCAACGTAAGTGGGGGGGAGGGAGGCAGCAGGGAAGCAGCCTTTGGCTCCTCTGAGCCCCTCCAGCTCCGAGGACTGGAACGCCTCCTAGCACAAGGAGCACCGGGGCAGCTCCACGTCAGACGCTTAAAGTTCGCTTCTATCCCAGCTTTAGTCCTGGCTTCAGCAACAGCTGGTTATGAGCTCTAAGGGCCAAATTTTCAGTGCTCTGCTGGACAGCAGAGCTGCAGGAGACAGAGAGTGGGTGTACTGCTGAGCTCCATGAGCATTCACTGCAGTAACAGAGCCCAGCGACCACAGCGAGGGAGAAGACAGCCCACCTCCATGGAGCAGCGTGGGGAGACACACAGCACAGCTTAACACTCCATTTTTCAGCGTTCTCATCACAAATATTTGAATGGGCTTTTTTGTGCCTCCCTTGAGCTTCAAAGACTTTTGTGCCTTTAAACAATTTCCAATAATAGATCTGCACATGATATGTACTTCCCACTGACACCTCAAGTGCAGAACAAACCATTGGGGAAGTTTGCGCAGCCCAGCTGCTGCTCCAGGAGGGATGAGCAAACACTGGTG